ATATATATATATATATATATATATATATATATATATATATATATATATATATATATATATATATATATATATAGTTAATTTTTAGTTATATATATTATAACTAATTTATATATACTTATTATAATACTTATAATATTATAAGTATATATATATATATAATATTATAATACTTATAATATTATTAATATATAATACTATAATACTTATTATAACTAATATATGTAATATATTACTTTTATGTTACTAGTACTAATTTAAAATTACTATTACTAATATAAAACATCAGTTTTTTTTGTGCTCCGTGAATCTAGTGTTAACTAGTTTTTTGGAAATTAACTTCTACTGTAATATATTGACCAAATTGAGTTTTACCAGGATTTGTAGAATACAAAACAGCTGAACCAATATTTCCTACGGTAAATCTTCACTTTCTAGCTTCTGACTTCATTAATTAAACGACTTTGATATCGCGTGAATTTCTCGAGTCAAATATTCGGCGCTTAATGCTTTAATCTCCGTGTCTAGGATCGGTTGGATCTGCGGAAGAGAGCAATAGAAGACACTCACCGTCAGCTTCTGATGGGAGTTGTGCACCTTCTCCCATCGTTCCTTGACCAGCTCGAGCTCCGACAACAGGTTCTCCTTCTCCCGTTGCATCTTCGCCGCCTGACTCTGCTGGAACTCTATCTTCTCGTACAGCTTCTGTATTTCCTCCTGGAAGCGGTCCCGTTCCTTCTGCAGCCGTAGCATTATGATCTGAAAGGAAGCGGGAAGCGAGAGCGTGACGATTACTTTTTAGTTCTCGCGTCGCTTTCACGGTAGCGGCGACCGTTTCACCCGCGCGAAAACGTAAGAAAACTCGGGGAGGAGTCCTCTTACCTGCGCCTTCTCGTATTTGTCCTGCAGTCGGTCCACTTCCAGCTGAATCGTTTCCCGTTCCTTTTGTATTCTGGTCGACTGTCCGAGGGCTTGGTCCAGTTGGCTCTGCAGGTTCTCGAAATCGTAGTTCTGTTTCTCGCGTTCCATCTGCATCTGTTCGGGACGGTTCGATTTGAGTTTCGGTCCGGTTAGAACCGGCTGAATCCCCCGCGCAGAGCACGCTCGATAAGCATCTACTTACTCTGCGAATCTCCGACTGCGACTTGTCCAGCTTCTCCTGAACCTTGTCCATCTCGCTCTGCGTCTTGTCCAGGAGAGACTGCAGCTTGTCCTGCTGAAGCTGTGATTTGCCGAGGGTCGCCTGAGTACGTTCGAGCTCCTCTTGCGACTTCTCGAGATCCGCCATCGCCTTGTCCCGTTCCGAGTGAAGCCGGGCTACCGACGCCTGTGCTCGATCGTACTCGTCCCGAAGGCTCTCCTGCTCCCCTTGAGCATTTTCCAATCTCGCTTTCAGCCTGTACACTTCACCTTGACTCTTCTCCACCTGACGGAATCACGGAAATAAAGATTGCGATTACGTTTCCGGCCGTCCTCCCACAGCTTTCTCGGGTTCCTAAGCTTTCTTCGAGGTATTTCCCCTAGATCTGTAATACCGATCTCGCATTGCTGGGAATGGGCTTTCAACCGACCGGCGAACGATTATGGACAATGCGATCGGGGGTGCTGGAGATTCAGAGTTCGGTAGCTCAGAGCGTTGGTCGAAGAACGAAATTCCGGAGATTCAATCGCGGATAAATATATTGTACGACGACATTTTTTGAAAGAGTATAACTGTTTCAAAATTGGACCTGGACGATTGAAATTTTTTGAGGTGCGAGAGGGGCTAAGTTTTTTGGACAACGTGTACAAAAATTTTGCCAAACGTCGCGATTGGGTAGAATGGGAAAAGAAATTCAAAAATGTCTCGTTTTTCGACTTTTTATCTGAGCATGTAACGAAACGCTATAAGCTTCCGTTATGATTATCAACCAAAAAACTGTGAGAAATCTAGAGATTTTAATTTTGATTTTTCCACTCAACTGCTACAAAATTTTTGCCCTTATTTTTGCACAGATTGTCTAGCAAACTTCTTATATCCAACATTCTCACGTGAACAAATTTCAATCGGTTTGGTTCAATTTTAATAAACGTTAATTCGTTTTAAAATATTTTTTATTATATTATTTTATTTTATTTTTTTATTTACTATTTTATTATATTAAATATTTTTTCTATTATATTTGTCCACGACTGTTCACTCCTAGAAACCGACAGAGGAATATAATCGTATAAAAATCATACACGCGAGTACGCACATTCCAATGAAATAAATATCCATTAAATCCAATTAAAAGTATATAAATAATATCCATTAAAAATAAATTCCATTAAATCTGTATTATTTTACTATATTTTTTATTATATATTTCACTATATTTACTATTTTATTATATCAAATATCTTTTCTATTATATTTTCCTAAAAAACCGACAGAGAAAAAACATGGTACAAAAATCATATCCGCGAGTACGCGCATTCCGTACGCACAAAATCCAATTAATTTCAATTTCTCCACCGTTTTAAGCTGTAGCTACCGATCTCCGTCACGAGCGCAGAGTACCCGCGGTTTAGTAATAAATTCTGGTCTCGTTCGCCCGATCGGCAGCGCGGGTCGGCTAGCCAGAACGGAATTTACTAATTTCCTTTAACTTCGTAATACACCGCTGCAAAGTTAATCTTCCGAGACCGTCGTTGCCTTAATGGCGCCGCCATTAGTGTAACTACGTACACGCGTGCCACCTCCGATCCGTTATTAATACGAAGCCGGCGCGCTTCGCGCTGTTTATCGCTCGCGGTACTAATTGAAATCCATTTCGGCGTCGCTCGCGGCACGCTGCGGATCTCGTTTGTCTCGCGATGGCAGCTTCTGTTCATTGGCGTGCGAACGCGCGCGATCGAGCGTCCGTTGAAAAATAAGTTCGCGATATGAGACGCGGGGATCGGTTCGCGCGGAAAACGTTCGTGGTATCCTCGAACGGGCTTTCCCGGGCGTTGAGGACGCCGGCGAGCAATTTTCCGGACACTTAGCCGGCAGTTTCATTACCGGTTCGTTTCGCGCCGTCGACAAAGCCTCGTAAGAACGCGGCCGTGATTGGAAATTAGATCCAATCGCCGCGCGCGGAGACCTCGGATCGGGGGATGCGGATCCCCCGATTCAGCCGCGTGTTCGATCGCGATTAAAGCCGATTGTTTCTTTTGTCCTTGGAAGCGGAACGAGGCTGCCGCGAGTCGATTCTATGACCGATTTAATCGCTGCGGAACGACGGCAGCCGCCGTTCAAACGACGGGGAAAACTGACTGGGACCGCTTCCTGCCTTCGGTCAGCGCCGTTCCGCGGTTGATCGCTCGAGACGACCACCGGTTCGTTAAGGAACACCGGTTCCCGTGGGATATTTCGCAGGGATCCCGAGGGACAGTTTACCTTTTCTTGGAGGGCGACAGCTTCGGCCCTGGCCCTCTCGTTGTCGGCCTGCGTCACCCTGAGCTCGGCCTGCGCCCTTCTCAGTTCCGCAGCCGCCTTCTCCGCCCGCTCGTGGATCCTGTCTATCTCCTGGGTGGAGTTGATGGCGCTCCTGCCATAAGTGCTCTGCGATCTCTCCACGTCGTGCCTGAGTCTCTCGTTGTCCAGCTCCAACCTGGTTATCCTCTGCTTGGCAGCCTCCCAGTCGGCTCCGCTGCGACCGACCTCGGACGCGGCTTTGTCAAGCTCGGCCTTGCTCTTGCCCAGCTCCGACTGCGAGCTCTCCAGCTTCGCCTCAAGCCGGTCCTTTTCTGCCTGCGCCCTCTCCAGTCGGGCGCCCAGTTTCTCGACCTGTGGACAGGGTCCAGCCACGGCTAAGTTTTGGCCGGGGTGACCAACGTCTTCCTGGTTCGTCCAGGAATCTGATCGATAAAACGTGTACGCTAGCAATAGACCATGCGGACACAATTTTTCTGCCAAATTCTTGCGGTCGTGCAGAGTACGTGCTCGAAGTCGATTCGTATTTTTAATCGATCGCTGGTTCGATCGCGATGTTCTTGCGAGTGAGAGATTGTTATTGACGATTTTGAATGGATTTAAATCGTATTTAAATACGATTTAAATATTTATTTATGGTTGTTGATAATCGGTAAGTAGAAAAATAATCGCCTAAAAAGTTCCCATATTGTTTATTTTTGTGCACAATCTCAGCGCGAATTGGGGGGAATTTACTTAAATTGCCAAGTCTCCGTTTGACACAGCGTAATTAATAAAATATCTGTATAGACTTCTAGTAGGTCATGCGTTAAGAACTAACGCGATCAAAAATGGGAAATATTTTTTCAGAATTCATCTCTGATAGCAATATAAATTTTCCTAAATCTTGTACAATTTTTTTGTTATTTCTTCCAATTTGTGTTGCAAGCTTTTATTATTTTCATACGTTCAATTCATCTCTTTGTCGTACCATTTTCTATAAATTTATGATGATTTGAATGCTTTTCGATTGACGTAATTTTTCTATGAAAAAGGAAAGGAGTATCTTATTTATTAGGATTAAATATTGATGACAAAATAATAGAATTCAATTTCAACTTAAAAGGTCGGAATACCATTCATACTTAACAGACTATTTCTATAGATCTTAATATGTTTAATTAACCCCTTAACGCGCAGAAACGTATTAACACGGGCGTGCAAAACCGGCCAAAATGTGCAGACCCGTATATATACGGTCGGCGTCGCAACTTATGTTACCTATATTAATTGAAAAACAGTACGATGGGTACAAAATTCGATCTGCAATGCGATTCAATATTCGCTATAATTATTTATCCACTATTTTTAGTAATTTTTGCATTTTTTTACATATTTATTGAAATTAAGGTCCAAATATGTATATATATTTTCTTAGATAAAAAAAATTGATTTTTTTTGGTCGGTTTTTTTTTTTAAATTGTGCATTAAGGGGTTAATGACGAAAGGCTACGTATTCGTTAAATAAAAATGAGCGAACCGTTATTTTAGAATCTTTCGCGCAACTATGCCCGAGGTGTGCACAAGAGATAAAGGGACGAAGGAGAACCCGACGATGGAAAATCATGTCCTCCAGCATCTTAGAAACAATCGAGAGTGGAAGAATAATGAAAATGGTAAGAGATCGTTCGAATGCGAAGAGCCTGGCAAGGTGCCTGTGTAAGTAAATTCTAGAAAACTCCGTTTGATTGGATAAGTAGGTTTTCGCAGGCGAAACGCCTGGCCATCGAGCTAACAATGCCGTCCTTGAAGAGGTTAAACGGAAGACTCTTGAGCGATCATTGGTGGGAGGGGGAGCGTGGGGGACTCACCTCAGACTCGAGGGCGTGAATTTTCATTTTGTACTCGGCGATCTCCCTCTCGTGTAACTCCCTTTCTTCCTGCTTCTCTTGCTCGGCCCGGTCTCTCTGCTCGCGTAATTGCGCCATTTGCTTCTCCTTATCTCCTATTGCTTCCTCCAGGCTGCTCAGCGCACCTTCGCTGCTGCAGTTGTGCGCCTGCATCGCCGTCAGTCTCGCCCTTGCCATGTCGACCTGGTTGTCCTTCTCCTTCAGTAGATCTTCCAGATTCTCGATCTGAAGTTCACAAGCATTTTTCCGTGAGCGCTCGATCCCATTCGATGGAACATCTGAGCATCGAGTGGAACGATCGGACAGAGGAAGCTTTCTTAAGGAGGCAGGGATTGTTAAGAAAGTCTACGTTCAGATGGTTCTAAAGCAGGGGTGGACAAACTTTTGATCACCACGGGCGATCTGTTTCTTTTTTCTTTCTAAATTGTAGACGGCGGTCTGCCAATATCGTGTGTGTCGAGTGATCACAAGAAAAATAGTAATTTAATTTTGAATAAAATTTGAATTTAAAATAAACATAGATAATATCAGACTGGCGGGCGATTTGGAGTAGTTACGCGGTCGACGCTTTGGTCACCCCTGTTATAAAGAGTCTTAGATTAGTATTATTTACATAGGATATTCCAAAATTATTGTACAAGTGGGTAATAAGAGATTCCTGAGGTCATTTGAAGTAACTTTCTCCTTTACAGAAATTTTCTCCGAGGCATCGTTCACGAGTTATTAACGAAAAACACTGACCAATGAGAGAACGAGTCCGGCTGACGCCCCGCCCTCGCGACCACCGCCGCTGCGCCAGACAGCCGGCGCGACGCGGCACTGGCCGCAAGTGCGGAGCGCCGGCCGCACACGTTCTCCGATTGGTCAGCGTTCCAGTGTTAATATCTCGTAAACAAATGCTCGGATTGCATTTTCGCAAAGGAAAAAGTTACTTCAAATCACCTCAGGAACCCCTCATTTCCCGCTTGTACAATAATTTTGGGACACACTGTATTAGAAGGAGAAAAGAAATAGACGACGAAATCTTCCTGAAGGTTAAAGGGGAATAAATGTTCGGAGACTGTCGCTGATATATTATGCCAAGTTGTTGCGTACGAAATATAAGGTCATCGCTGTGCCTGGAATTGCAACGATGCAATTCATCTATGAACTAATGAATCGCATCTATGAACAAACGATGCTCGTCACCATTAAAAATCGAGCATTTCTCGCGTAACAACTTGGCACTTGAACGAGTATCGGGATTCGACGGCTCGTTAGTTTAATGAACGTAAATCCGCACTTACCTGTCAGCCATCGTTGCCAGATGTTGTCACTCGCAACGTTTACACAACTACGCTAACGGTAGCTTGCAACTAATAACAACCAACGATATTACACGACTGCAGAAAAGAACAAAAATCCGAGAGAACCGTCCATCGACGCAGTTCGGTTCGAAATAATAACCGCGAACGGGGGTTCGTTCGGTCGGGCACACGCCACTTACATTAATGTCTCCCTAACTGACGCTCGGATTGCGCACAAAAACGGACAATTTGGGAAGAGGAGATACGATTGTTCGAGCCTTGCGGCTCGTTTTTATATTTCTCGACAATTCGTAACTATGAAAACGAACCGCAAGGCTCGAACAATCGCATCTCCTCTTCCCAAACTGTCCATCTTTGTGGACAATCTGAGCGTCAATTAGAGAGACATTACTGTAATGATCGATGACGGTTCGAGAGGGACCCAGAAAGGCGCGGGACAGTCATCGATCATCGCGCGGCAATGCGAAAGAAAAACGCGCGGTGCTTAACGTAAACGGATATAAAAAGCGAGAACGAAGAAAAAGAAAAAGAAACGCAAAATAATGTTGAACGGCTTTATTGATAAATGATACATAAGAAAACTGGTCAGCTGAAGGCAGGCGAGCTAAACTCGGGGATAATGTGCGGCTATTTACATCGACTACAAGGGGCGTGCTTGACGAAACAGATTACAAAAAAAAATTGTGCCGCAGGACGACAGGCGCGTGACGCGCACACATACACTGGCATACGGGAATACGTACTCGCATACATGCATACTACCGCAGTCGCATTGTGCGAATATTCGACGGTGAGCGCGCCCTTTGATCCGAGGGTGCCGACTAATTAATCGCCGGCGAAAACCACTTCTGGCCCCCGTATCGCATCGACGAGCACCGAGGAGAGCACCGGCGACGCTTCTTTCGCTGCGAGCGTTTACCAGCACGCACGATACTAAGTTTGTATCTTGAATTATCTCCTTTCTTTAATTCGGCGCCACCCTTTGCTAATCAGGACACTCGAACCGCGATTGTCGCACGGCGAGGCAGGATCAATCGACTAATCGCTCAAACGCGCTCGCAGTTACGCTTCTAGAGAACGACTATTGCTCTCTACTTGGCTTAGAGCGTTTGCTACAGACGTATAGATCGTTCGCCCGATGTAAGTCAACGGATTGAAATGACTTCTAAACGATTAAAAAGACCGTGTTGTTTCTGTCGGAAACGTTTCTTCGACTCCCGCACCGGAAATTAAAAATCAGTTCGACGAATGAAGTACGAAGAAGAAGTACAAAGTGCGAGGGTTAATGAAAACGGTTCCCTCTGAACGACAAATATTCGCGAAGTCTTCAACGATCCGCACAAAGAAAGACTTACATTGTTCTACGTGATGCAAGCGATTCAGTGAACAGGGTGCACTACTCCACGTTGGGTGCGACAAATGTCGAAGGTCCGCGAAAAACAGGGTGACTCGACGCTGGCTGATCGAGCGCAGGGCAAAAATGAACCTGCCGCTCCGAAGTTTCGTTCGAACGGAATTTGCAACCGCAACGATTCGACCTTTCGAGTAATTTCTTGCTCAGAATCGTAAGCAACTTGCCAGGATAAAGCCACCGCCGTTGAACGCAGACCCGTTCGATCGAGGAGCGAAGGGTGCAGCAGAAGACGGGACAAGTGGACGCGTCAACCTTTCCGGTTCGGTTGAACTTGCGGCCTTCGAACCGACGCGAGGCCAACACAGCCGAAAAAGCGGGAAAGAAAGTTCGAGGTTCACTCACCTTGCGCTGGAGAACACTGATCTTCCGGTCCTTGATATCCATGTGATCCTTGAGCTCGGTCAGCTCGGTATTCATGCGGTTTCGTTCCTGTTGCGCCTGCAAGGCCGCCTGCGTCTTCTTCTCTATCATCCGGTTCTTCTCCTCGAGCCTCTGCCGCATTTCCTCCACCTGAGATGCACACACACGCGAACATTATGCGCTGCGAATGACTTTGATCAGCCCGATCCGCATTGTACACCGTGCACGCATGCACGCGACTACGGACAGTTCAGGAGAAGTCGGGGGAGCAGAGAGGAGAGGAGAGAAAGAGAGAGAGAGAATGACCCAGTTCCCTGCTGCCCGGCCTTCCGTTACCCCTGCGTCCACCTCCCCCGAGTTCGATTTGCCACGATACGATCGCGAATCCCCCAGGACTCGATTCCTTCGACAACGAACCAACTTCCAACCGGTACACTCTTCTATTACAGTTCTTCTTTCTATGAATTGTAAATCGCGATAGAAAGAAGCTGGACGCCGCCGGCGGCTACTTTGGGAATTGGATGGGACCATTCTTTCCACCTGGCGACACCTTTGGTTTATACGGTCGGCAACGATCGTTTCCTTCATACTTGGCATACTCCGGGCAAAGCGAATCTTGGATATTTTATGGATTATTCGGTCGGATCATGGAACGGAGATTTCCGGAATAGCCGATTTACTTAATGGAATCACCGGCGAACGAAAGTCTACTGAACATACTGGGTGGGTCATTCGAAGGGATCTGGATACAGTAAATTCTCTTCGATTGTTTCTTAGTTTGTGAACAAAAATGGACCATTTGGGAAGGGGAGATACGATTGTTCGATTGGTAATTGTTCGATTATTATTGAGCAATAATTCGATTATTATTAGGCAGTAACTCGATTATTAATTAGGCAATAATTCGATACCGATTGGCAACGACTATAAAAACGAGACGCAGGAATACTCGTACGCTCGAATAATCGTATCTCCTTCTCTCAAATTGTCCATTTTTGTGTGCCATCTGAGCGCGAATTAGGGAGAAATTACTGTAATCCTAGAACAACTTGCCGAAAGAAACGGCAATCGATGCGATCGATAAAAAAACGCGTACAAAAGTGATCTTAAAAATGCATCGACACAGCTAAGTAGTTACTATAGTAAATTCTCCCTAATTTTCCTTCAGCTTGTAAACAAAAATGGACAATTTAAGAAGAAGAGATGCGATTATTCGAGTCTCGCCGCTCGATTTATAGCCGCCGATTGTTAACAACTTTAAAAAACGAGCCGCAAGGCTCGGAGAATCGTATCTTCTCTTCTCAAATTGTCCATTTTCGTTTACAATCCCATCGCGAATTAGGGAGAATTTACTGTATCTCTTGCAATCGACACTGAAAATTGTATGCTGTGTTTCACATTATTGTAATTATGTTCGTCTACCGATCAAATTTAATTTATGCGTGATTAGAAGATTACGAAAATATGCAGACAAAACTTTGAAACAGATATCCGGAAATTAAGCTTAAGTTATACAAAATAAACCCCAGTCACTGGATACAAACCCACTTATAAGTAACAAAAATATTCAACTCTTTATTTTATACGTAATTCTATGTAATTGCAGCTTAAAAAAAATAGAAAATTCGAAGCAAAATTCTAGTAAAATTCTTTAGTAAATTAGATTCCCTCCGAAATCGTTGAAAATACCAATTTCGAGAAAATTATTCGACTTTAAAAGATCCGCGAACGCTTTTGCGAGCTGCTATAAGCGAACGACCCTGTTCAGTAGACTTGAAGAAAACATTCAACAACTTTTCCATTGACTTAGAATTTCTAGGTTGGACTCACATCAGCCTGAAGCATATTGTAGTGTTCCTCTTTGGCGCAGAGCGACTCCTTGAGCACGGTGATGTGCCGTTGATAGTCCTGGTGCTGTTCCTCGAGGGTTTTCATCTTGGCGGCCATCGCGAGTATCTCCTGGTCCCTGCGCTGCACTTCGGTCCGTAGCTCGTCCAGCTGCGAAAAGATTCGTCGTCCAGGAGAGGATCAGTCCGCGCGCACGGATAAACCTCGACGACGACGAAACAACGAGCGACGAAGGCGGCCAAGGCCTGTCGTCCCTCCGTCGTGGCCGAGTACGACGACGATCGGCGGGCGCGGCCAGTTTTCCAGCTTCGATTCCGGCCAGCGGAACGTAATCGGCCGTGAAAACGGGTCGGCCATTTTCGTTCCGATCCGCCAACTGTTCGACTTGCTAATCGCTCGGTCGAAATTTCCGTACCCGCTGCCGGGCTTCGACTGCTCCGGGGTTGGCTCAGGGCTCGAAAAACTTTCCTCCGAGCCCTCCGTGGCCGGGCGATCGTGCGCCGAATTCGCTTTCGGCTCGATCGGGGACCTCGACGATCGCGTTAACCTGTTAACCGGGCGATTTGCCGACCAATCGTGACTCGTTTCCTCGAGGATACCGGCCTAATTTAACCGTCATAGTTCGGTGATCGCGTTTCGGCACGCTATTTGCTCTCGACGCGTTCGCAATTATTTTTATCCTTGCGAAAGCTTTGCTCCGAAGCGGAACGAGGCGAACGGTTGCGATTGAACCGCGGATCTTCGCGATGGTTAAATTTCTGTTCCAGCGGCTTGATGCGTTTCCGCAATGAAAATTATTTTGCTATTAACCCCTTGCACTGTAACGAGTCGGACTCGCGACGGTTAAATTTCTGTTCCAGCGGCTCGATGCGTTTCCGCAATGAAAATTAGTTTGCTATTAACCCCTTGCACTGTAACGAGTCGGTCTCGTGATGAACATTTCGTACATAATCTACTAAATATTAATGTTATTCATTCATTCTACGTTGAAGTAATGTTTCATCCTTTTATTGTCAAAGTCTAGAAATGATCGTAAACGGAGACATAGAAGAGAAACGAAAGTTTTCTCGTTCTGTCAGGAAAGTTATTAACACTTCGATGGCCGCTCACACAATATGTATTGTATAATTATTATCATAATTACTATAATTATTTATGATTCTTTATTTTATCTTTAATAATTATGAAAGCGATTGCTTTAATAATCGCCACACGAAGGAAAAATATTACACTTGTTTCATTAAATGTACTGTTATTGTTGTTATTGTTTCTTTTTGTTTTATGCGCATGTTCGCACATGCTGAATTATTTCATGAATTTATATAAATATTGGCGACGTTTCACTGCGTAGACGTGCGGCCATTATAGTGTTAATGACTAAGCTTACGCAGCACTAAAAGCAGCTATTTTATTGTTTACAATCAACGCGAGACATCCACGTGTCCAATGAAACAATCCCGTTGAACAAGTTCCCAGCATCTTTAGAATTTCAACGATGGTAAATTAAACGATTTTGTAACGCGTCTGACGTAGTCGCGAAAGCAATCGTGGCCGCAAGGGGTTAAGACCTGTTAAAAATCTCGAGGATTCTGTTAAACGCAAGATCCGCGGTCCATTTATGATTCTTGGCGTGGCATTTGTGCAGAGTTCGCGGACGTCGTTTCGACTAACGAGAGTTCACAGGAGCCGACGTTTCACCGACACCAGCAATCATTTCGCAAACAGAAACAACCGACGCAACAACATCTTCCCAGCGTAATAATACTTTCTTACGAGATATCGAAAGCAATTGCATGCACTGGTGCCCGCTCAGTTTTCGCTTCTATCGTCCGCTTAGCAAGCCACCCCCCGATCGATACTTAGATCATTAATTTACGTCCTCGTCCTACGGGGCATTTTAGCCTTAGACGAGTCCCCGCAGGCTTTCGTGAAACTCGGCGCGTTTACAACGCCGTTAGAAGCAAGAAAAACGCGCCGTTTTCGCGCGTAATAACTGTTCGAGGAGCGTCGTCCTCGAGGAAACTGTCGGAAAATAAACGCACTCGAGATCACTACGGGCTTTATCGACGGCGATAGAAGTTTTATCGGCGAGTTTCGTCCGATTCGAAGGTTCAAATCTCTCTCTTGCCGGCGGTTCTTACCTTGTTCGAGGATGAGACGGCTGGAGGAAGGAGAGAAGAATCGTTAAACATCTCTGAAAATCAGCGTTAATTGATACACGATTAATGACCGGGCGTCGATCGATCGATCGATCGATGATCCGATTTACAAAGAATTCTCGTCGGCCGAGACGAAGCCGGCCGCGCGAGACCAGACCGATTAGGCTTCCGCGAACAGATCTCTAGGCTAAACAAGGAAACCGAAGCGAATTCCCGTAGTGTTCCCGGTTAACAGGATAACCATTCGGCGACGCTACGATTCTACAAACTTCTGGATCAGCGGTTTCCGATCGTCCTCTGGCTGGTTCGAAACCGACGGAACGCTTGTCACCGGTTCAAGCCGATGCGCGCGGATTGCCGTTCGACAGACACTCGCTTCTCCTCAGGGCTAATCGAGCCAGCCTTTGTCGTCGTACTCGGCCAGGACTCGTATATATATGTAAATATATGTATATACTGAGCATGCAGCGATATCGAGACCAACGATACAAAATTACAAACAGTGTTTCCTGCGTGTACGAGAGATACATTGATTACGTGTTCGAACGAGTGTACACGGGATTGGAGATAGGCGAGATCCAGGGATTCGCGGGAGCTGCGGATAGATTAGGACGTATTATGTATATATATAAATATATATATATATATAAATATATATTGTGTCTCTCTCTTGGATTATCGTGTACGTACCTACTACGCTCGTCTGATCTACTCTGGTGTCGGCAGGCCGCGTGAGGATCCCGTCGCGAGATCTCGCAGCGGATCGAGAGCCCGCGGCTGGATTCGTATTATAGAAGCATAGTTACACAGCTAAACACGTTTCACTATCTAATCGACTAGCAGAGTACGCAGCGTGAAAGAGACGTCGCGGCTCTTTTCGCCGATGGTCGAAGTAAAAGTCCTATGTGGCGATCTTCAGGGCCGGGAACAAAGGGCGCGAGATCGAATTCGTGGAAACGGAGCTGTCGGCTTCGGAACACCGTCTGGAAGATCGCAGACTATGCGCTCCGTTAACGGAAGGGATGACCGAGTTCAGCAATCGACGACGAGCTATTAGTCTCGATAAGAATAAGGAATCCCGGCGCGTCCCGCGAGATTTGCGTCATCCGAGTCACCGAGGACTTCGCGGAACTTTTCACGCTTAGACAACCGTGTCGCAGTTTTTGTCTCAGTTCTTGGAACAGCTTCGCAGGACTGGCATTCTGTTTGGTAATTATAGAAGAGCGAGATTAGCGGCTGCTCGACGTGCTCGTACATTAACTTCGATTTTCAACCTTCGAGCAAATAATTTGCTCGAAGTTCTGATTCGAGCAAATAATTCTACAGAACGAATTAGAATTTAGTATCACGTTGATATGAATTTTTCAACCATTCTTCGAGCGCATTCGGGCTAACTGTTCATCGTTTTTTAACACGTTCCGTGCCGAGCTGTTTTTACTCGAATCTTCACAGTGACCGTTTGATATTTTATTGAAACCTGATGTTTTATACGCAATTATTAGTTCTCGTATATATAAAACGGTGGAAATAAATTCTTCGGTTCTAAATTTGTTACAAGCAATTTTTTCGGTTCATTGACACTAGATTTACGGAGCACAAGAAACGGCTGTTTTTGCATCAGCTTGTAAAAGTAACAGTAAGACATTTATCCTGATTTTTTAACAAGCGTTATTGTAACATTTATCGTAAGTAACATATAAATCGACTAAATATATCTTTAAAAAGATATATCTTAAATAAATGTATCTTCACGACACGAATAATCGTAAATTAAAAAATTAGTGGCGGATTCTGTAAATCTAGCGTTAAATAAACATGTAAGCATGTACCATCGGTGGTACACGTGGCACGGAACGTATTAATAATGTCTTTAGTTTTCTCGCAAATGGTAAGATTGCAACAGGTAGCCGCAAATAGCAGACAAAACAACGAATAAAAATGTTACTTTCTTGTTGTTCGAAACTGATCTGTATATAATATCCTATAACATTACTGTTTTATTTTAAATTTTATATAAATTTAAGCCAAATTAAACTTTGATGTACTTTCCGTAATCTTTAATGGATAAAGTACCAAAACAGCATCGAATTCGATGGAATCTGTCACCAGTTTTGCCAGTTTCTCGCTGCATAAAAAATGTCTCTGGTCTATGCGCAACTGTTCCAAAACGTTCGCGCAAGTTTGCTTTTGATTCTGCCGTAACACATAAATGCCGTTGAACGAGAATTACTTCGACCAGGGTTTCGCAGAGCCGCGGCCAAGAGGTCGTGCACGCGCGTATCTCACGCAGTTGCCCAATAAAAGCAGGATCGGGAACCGGTGGATCGATCGGCGCCCGATCAAGCGTGGTGGCGCCGATCGATCGTCGATCCCGCGCCTCTCCAGCGTTCTATGTCGTGCCAAGTAAGAAACAGATCTACGGAGAGAGCCGAGCGATCCTCGCGACCGGTGTTCATCGTCTCGGGTTCCTCGGTGTTTCTCTATTCGACGGCCACGAAGAACCACAATCGGTGATCGAAGAGAGACGAGAGAAGAAAAAAAAGAAAAGAAAAAAGACAGTCGAGAGAGAACAAAAAAAAATGTCCAGATAGAAGAAGAAGACAGAAGAAGAAATAGTTCAACGGTAGTATCAAGTGCTACGTGACTATCTACGATCATCGTTAGGCTGCATACACGCACGCGCGCACGCAGAAAAGTGTCGTACCGAGGCGGCCGCCATCTTGTCGGCCGCGCCGACGTTGGGTGGCCGGCCGGGCCCAGAAGATCGCTTCTGCGCGTGGTACGTGCATGATTGCGAACAGTCAGATCAACGACTCACACCAGAGAAAGGGACAGAGAGACAGACAGAGTGTGTCAGAGAGAGAGAGAGAGAGAGAGAGAGAGAGAGAGAGAGAGAGAGAAAGAGCGAGAAAGAGCGAGAGAGAGAGAGAAAAGAGAGCGAGAGAAAGAGCGAGAGAGAGAGAAAAGAGAGCGACAGAAAGAGCGAGAGAGAAGGAAAAAGAGAGCGAGAGAGAAGGAAAAAGAGAGCGAGAGAAAGAGCGAGAGAAAGAGCGAGAGAGAAGGAAAAAGAGAGCGAGAGAAGGAAAAAGAGAGCGAGAGAAAGAGCGAAAGAGAAGGAAAAAGAGAGCGAGAGAGAAGGAAAAAGAGAGCGAGAGAAAGAGCGATAGAGAAGGAAAAGAAAAGACAGAGACAGCAACGGGGTGGCTGCTGACTTCCTGACCCAGTTCGAGCCCATATATCGTGATTCCGGTTGCACCGAATAAATCGGGGGCTTATTAAATAAAAGCAAGCGACGAGATTGCTTGCAGAGAGCCCGCGATAATGAAAGCGCAACGCGGACAGCCGGGAGAAGATTTAACGAAGAATAATTAGAGTAACTAACTGCGACGAAGTTTTATGAAAGTTCGACGAGTTCGCCATTGAATATTGAAATAAACCGCGAGCCCGTGAACGAACTTTCCCGGGGCTGAAGTTTCGATTAAAAAATCGGAAAGCTGTAATTTCGTGCTGCCCGGGTGAAAAAAGGAGACTCGGTTCACCACGACGGATTGGGAAATTTTTTGAAGCGACCTTCCTCGTAGCCTCGTTGCTTTTCTTTTCAAGTCCCGCGGGAATTCACTAGCCACTCCGGGACAGAGACAGAGCAATAGACAGAGAGAGAAAGATGTAGATAAGTAGAGAAAGATCGAGAGAGAAAGAGAGGAAGAGAGAGAGAGGGAGAGAGAGAGAGAGAGAGAGAGAGAGAGTGTGTGTGTTAGAAAAAGTGTTACTACGGAACATCGAAACACTCCGTTACATAATACGGTAATCACGTAGATGGAAACGAAGGATAGGTGGTGGCTTGGAAGTGCTTCTTTGTCGGGTGAAGAATATCCTTACCTCCTCAGAAAGCTAGAATATTGGGGCACCACATTTAATAATGCTTCGCTCACCACGAAGGCCACCCAACTCCGCCTCCCTGCGTTCCAATCAATCGAATCATTGACCCTTTCGCCGCGGAAACGACGAGATCGGCATATTTTGCACGCTCGCCGAACGTACATACGGTTCAAAAAGAACAGCCTACGGAAATCATCCGAGAGGTCTACGGTGAAACGCGAAACCCGATGGAAACTCCGAGGAAAATCGAAGGCGTGGTTTCGACGAGAAATTTTAACGCATCTGTTTGTGCGGTGGCCAGCTATTTTCGATTTTCTCGTTCGACTCGAACACAATGAAATCCGTCTAAAATCAAGCTGACTTCGTGTGGCGCACGGTTCGGGGTTAACGGATATTTAACATGTTAACGAGCTTCGTAATTTACCGCGGCGACTCTATTAGCATAAGCTACGCACTGTCCACATTCGTTACAGCGATAGCCGCGTCAGATTGATTTCCTTTATCTCTGATCGTATGTATTTAGGCGATTATGCTCGAAACATCGCTAACAGATGTTTCGGTTCGATAGAATATCGAATGTTGCTTTCAATCTCAGAGCACGCGCGCGCGCGTACGCTTCGAGTTTCCTCGGCGATGCAGTTCGTCCGCCGAACAATTTACAGGAAAGCGTCTCTCTCGTATTCGCGGAGCCTAATTAGCCGAAAGGGTGAAATGATTTCGCCGGATTTCATCGAAACAACGAGCACCGTTATCGATACGCGTTACGTTTGATTCAGTTCGATCGATAACGGCGGTGGGTGGAGGGGAGGGGAGGGTCCCCTTCATTTGCCACGATGGAACGTGATCAGCTTTCCCCGTTCTTTGATTTAGCCCGGCCTCCTCGATTCCGGTCACGTGCAAATTTATTCGGTCGCCGCATCGGCATCGTTGCGTTATTAACGTTCGTCGCGAACCGTAGAATCGAACGAGTTCGGCGGAATTGGGTAGTGCCATCCATTGCTGACTTATCGCTAACTTAGCTCTAGCCTTAGGTGCTAATGATGGCGCCCTTATCACTATGTAGATGTCGCGGATCCGGGGGACGTTCGACTGACTTCGTGCTAAGATCCAATCGCGCGTCTCTGCGTATAATTGTTCAAGGTGAAATTTTAAGCATCGTCGATCGAATTTGGAAAAAGAGAAAAAAAAAGACATTTTCCGCAGAACGAACTGTCCCCTCCTCGAATTTTGGCGAGCGTCTCGGTGGCCGGTCGGCCCCGAGGCTCGCTCGAATGACGGATGACTGCGATGTCCCGTGCGATGTTCGTTTACCTTATATATGGGAAATCGATCAACGAGGCGACAGACAGCTAGATGATGAGAGTATGCGTCGTAACAATACGGAGCTCGTCTGCGTGGCATGCAGCATGCATAAACACAGGGCTAGACTTCTCGAAGACTCGCATGCGGCTCCCGGAGTTCACGGATCGGTCGAATTTGCGCCGGATCGCGAATCAAGGCTGGAAACCGTGGGGGGTAGGGGGGGCAGCGACGACAGTGAAACTCGAGAAAATCGCTAAGGGCACGAACAAACACGAACCAGCGCCGACCAAACGAACGGCCGTCGCGCGATCGTTCGCCGACGGGGGCCACGAACTCCTCGCGATCGAACTTCGCCTAATTTGCCGGGCGATGAACGGCGTCGAGCAGACAGTTGGCCGGTCGAACTTGGCCGCCGGGGTTCCTTGTTATCGCACACGACCCCCGAATATGGTCGTCCGCGGGACACCGCTCGAGGATTCCACGGACCGTGCCAATTATTCCGTGGCAGCGGATATTCTCGGGAACGCGCCTAACTTTCGGACGATGTTCGCGCGAGAATTTTTCCTTCGATCCTCTCAAATCCTCCTGGCGACGCTCGACATTTTTTACGCTGTTCGATAACATTGCGATCGTTAGGCTTCGTTCACAGTCGTCCGGTAGAGAAGCGATCCGCGACAATTTTGCTGCGCGCGGACGAGAACGGAATTCATAAATCGAAAGCGGAAAACCGGGTATTGACGTAAGCAATCTGTAAGCGAAAAAACGCGTTCGCGTTGATCTGTAAGATTTATATCTGCGAGAGACTCCGCGAAATGTCCGCTGCCACGACGAAGTCATCCGCGATTATCGTCTCCGAAAGCGTTCGACTCCCTTAAAAATCGGAGCAACAGCCTAACTCTGTTTGCTCTCTTATCGCGGCTATTAAAAATTGACTTTCAGACCACCATTCTAGCTCTATTGCGTTTGTACTCTGGCTGAATTGTGAGCATTGTCGAGGATATTGACTCTGGTCCGAAACTATTGACCTGTTAACCGAGTTATTATACACCTTGATTTGTACGCCTCGAGTCGCATTGTTTCGCGTGCATTATTTCTACGTGTTTCCTTACCGATTGGCACTTTGATCTCCACTACGCTGCTTCACGCTGGTCAAGTACGAAAGCGTATCGTTGCGATACAACGATAACGATTGCACCGCACGCTCCGCCGATCCTTCGGTTCGGGGCAACCGTTACGACCGTCCGACGTACGTCGTTAACCCTTTCGCGCCGAGCGCCGCATATACGCGGCATCCGCTCGACGACCTGTGGGTACGGGCGCCGCATATATGCGGCATCGAAATGAAGTGTAGACAGAAGACGCGGATGTGTAATTTGCAGCAAAAATGATAAAAGAACGGATTCGCGCGGTACGAGTGCAAAGATTGCGACGTTGGCCTTTGTATAGATCCTTGCTTTCAAATATATCACACAGAGAATTATATTATTAGTTTTTACATATGATTATATTTTAATAATTTTTTCCTCTCGTTATTAATTATATGAAACATTTAACCGTTAGACTTTGTAATTATACAAATACCTACGTTACCTATAATTTTGTAAGTATTTTGCAATTAAAAATGTAAATATACTTGTTCACATTAGAGCAACGATTGTTTTATTCGGCACAGTTATTATTTAAGACTTCGAACAACATGTATACAGAAACCACGCGCACTGTGCATATCTCCGGAGCGAGTTTCCGTTCGGTACTTCGGCGGATGGGGCTGCCGTAGCGAAAGGGTTAAACTTTAGACGATAAAGAACAGCTCGAAAAAGCGAAAAGAACGTACGATCTCTCATTTCTTAGTCAGCCATACGCACTCTGCGGCGTACATCGAACGTATTCGAACGGTTTGTCGTAGCAGGAAATCAATAATCGCGGAAGTTGCATCGTCGATCGGTTCGCAGAGAGATTGTCGGACAAGCGTCATCCGGTCGGACGTCCGGTTGATCCTAGGGGTGCTAGCATATTTGTACGCGCACAGACGGACACGTGGAATCAGGTAACCGGCGAGAAACTCTGAAACAGCTCGGAACAACAAAACAGTTTTCGACTTTCGCTATTGCGTGCCCGTACAATTGAACACTTTTCTTCGGACGTTCGCCGACCGCGACGGTGCATCAAGACCGGCGCCGCGTTTACAAAGCCGGAACCGTTCGAACCACTCTCGCGGCTACTTACAGCTCTGCCATAGAAATACATATCGACAGCGCGTTTAACGGTCGAACGATTTAGCACCAGCGAGAATCAATTGCGGCGACGTCAAGGAAACCCGGCGGAGCTTCCTGACCCTGGACAATGAAATCGTCGTCGGCCGGGGTTCAGGAAGCCGGGGTGGTGATCGCGGAGGGGGGGAGTGACCGGGATCTGCGTCACGGTTATGCATTGTCCGCGTGATTCGCGAACGCGAATCTTCGTCGCGCCGTAAATGAAAATCCGAGGGCCGTTGTTCCGGATAGAGCCGTCGCGGATCCGTCGCGCCGTATGAAAATCTAGGGAGGAGGGGGGTGGGGCGCCGTTGCTCCGGATAGATCCGTCGCGGATCCGTCGCGCGAACGAGTCTCGAGATGGTTCTAGAAACGAACGTGACAAACAATAAATCTGGTCTACGTCGTCCGGCTCTCGGACGCATGCATCATGCCTTGAAACGATCCGTTCGCATTCGAGAAACTCTACGCGACGAGAGAATGGCGAGCGAGCGAGCGAGCGAACGAACACGATGATGTTTCATTTTTTTTCCACGGGGATGGTCGGAGAGAGAGATGATGAAACCCTATAAACGACTCCCGATACCTCGATCCCTGATGGCTGGCTGATGGGCATGACGTGTGTAACGATCGATGAGGATGGACGAAGATCCGATTCCCTCGATCGGAACGCTAGATCTACGATATAACATACGAGTAATGAGCGTGCCACGTGTGTGAAGTACGACGATATGAACCGGTGGTGGTGGTGATGGTGGCGGTGGTGATGGTGGGGGGAACACAGGGGTGTGTGTGTCTTCGATGATGCATGAAGGAAGAAGGTGGTTGTTGTTCGGTCGACGGTTCCTTTCTCACGGTTCAGTGGGCGTGGGTGGTGACTGTGATTTTTTTGGGGCTTGTCNCCTTTCGCGCCGAGCGCCGCATATACGCGGCATCCGCTCGACGACCTGTGGGTACGGGCGCCGCATATATGCGGCATCGAAATGAAGTGTAGACAGAAGACGCGGATGTGTAATTTGCAGCAAAAATGATAAAAGAACGGATTCGCGCGGTACGAGTGCAAAGATTGCGACGTTGGCCTTTGTATAGATCCTTGCTTTCAAATATATCACACAGAGAATTATATTATTAGTTTTTACATATGATTATATTTTAATAATTTTTTCCTCTCGTTATTAATTATATGAAACATTTAACCGTTAGACTTTGTAATTATACAAATACCTACGTTACCTATAATTTTGTAAGTATTTTGCAATTAAAAATGTAAATATACTTGTTCACATTAGAGCAACGATTGTTTTATTCGGCACAGTTATTATTTAAGACTTCGAACAACATGTATACAGAAACCACGCGCACTGTGCATATCTCCGGAGCGAGTTTCCGTTCGGTACTTCGGCGGATGGGGCTGCCGTAGCGAAAGGGTTAAACTTTAGACGATAAAGAACAGCTCGAAAAAGCGAAAAGAACGTACGATCTCTCATTTCTTAGTCAGCCATACGCACTCTGCGGCGTACATCGAACGTATTCGAACGGTTTGTCGTAGCAGGAAATCAATAATCGCGGAAGTTGCATCGTCGATCGGTTCGCAGAGAGATTGTCGGACAAGCGTCATCCGGTCGGACGTCCGGTTGATCCTAGGGGTGCTAGCATATTTGTACGCGCACAGACGGACACGTGGAATCAGGTAACCGGCGAGAAACTCTGAAACAGCTCGGAACAACAAAACAGTTTTCGACTTTCGCTATTGCGTGCCCGTACAATTGAACACTTTTCTTCGGACGTTCGCCGACCGCGACGGTGCATCAAGACCGGCGCCGCGTTTACAAAGCCGGAACCGTTCGAACCACTCTCGCGGCTACTTACAGCTCTGCCATAGAAATACATATCGACAGCGCGTTTAACGGTCGAACGATTTAGCACCAGCGAGAATCAATTGCGGCGACGTCAAGGAAACCCGGCGGAGCTTCCTGACCCTGGACAATGAAATCGTCGTCGGCCGGGGTTCAGGAAGCCGGGGTGGTGATCGCGGAGGGGGGGAGTGACCGGGATCTGCGTCACGGTTATGCATTGTCCGCGTGATTCGCGAACGCGAATCTTCGTCGCGCCGTAAATGAAAATCCGAGGGCCGTTGTTCCGGATAGAGCCGTCGCGGATCCGTCGCGCCGTATGAAAATCTAGGGAGGAGGGGGGTGGGGCGCCGTTGCTCCGGATAGATCCGTCGCGGATCCGTCGCGCGAACGAGTCTCGAGATGGTTCTAGAAACGAACGTGACAAACAATAAATCTGGTCTACGTCGTCCGGCTCTCGGACGCATGCATCATGCCTTGAAACGATCCGTTCGCATTCGAGAAACTCTACGCGACGAGAGAATGGCGAGCGAGCGAGCGAGCGAACGAACACGATGATGTTTCATTTTTTTTCCACGGGGATGGTCGGAGAGAGAGATGATGAAACCCTATAAACGACTCCCGATACCTCGATCCCTGATGGCTGGCTGATGGGCATGACGTGTGTAACGATCGATGAGGATGGACGAAGATCCGATTCCCTCGATCGGAACGCTAGATCTACGATATAACATACGAGTAATGAGCGTGCCACGTGTGTGAAGTACGACGATATGAACCGGTGGTGGTGGTGATGGTGGCGGTGGTGATGGTGGGGGGAACACAGGGGTGTGTGTGTCTTCGATGATGCATGAAGGAAGAAGGTGGTTGTTGTTCGGTCGACGGTTCCTTTCTCACGGTTCAGTGGGCGTGGGTGGTGACTGTGATTTTTTTGGGGCTTGTCCAGTGTGTTGTAGCGCTAGGCGGAGGCCGAACGGGAAACCAAGAGCGGATGATAATATACGTGTGGCGGGGGTTACGTGACGGATCGTTTGGCAATGCTATATAATCAACGTGACAACTACTCATGGGTGGATTGGCGGGGGGGTGCTGGGTGATGCCGTTCCGAAAGTGCCCGGGATATATGTTTCGGTGTTCGGGTGGCCTGCGAGTGCGAGAACAGCGATTCTCGTGGATGAAAGGGAGAGAGACGATTCTCTGTCGCGATCGATCGCTAGAAAAAAGAAAAAGAAACGATCTGCCGCGTGCGGGATGAGATCTGCGCGCGGGTTCATGGCTGATGGCGAGCTGTACGAAGATTGTTCCGTGGTCGATGCGGATGGACGAACGACTGCTGGACGATGAAGAGAAATCATTTTTTGGAGCGTATGAGCGTATGTCGATCAAAATCAAATGTGCGAGCGAGGGGGACACGTAAGGGGCGTCGTGGGTGGGGGGATAAGATGATGAGAGATAAAGAAACGATGGGACCGGGGAGAGGTCGGAAGGTAGTTCAAGCTGGATCAGATCAACGATCGAGCACAAGAATTCTTTCTTTCTTTCTCTCTGCGGTGTTCGTCGATGATACCGGTTGCTGGTCGTACTATTCTCTTTTCGATCGGCGTTCTTATCCTGTGTCGTCAGCTTGACTTCGGTCAGCTGTCGCTGACGCACCACCCTTGACCCAGATCGGGGGGGAACTCGGAGGGAGACGGGTCTGGGTCTGTCTCTGCGTTCGACAAGGTCGGCTTCCGTTCCACCTTGCGTTCGTTCGCCGGGGATGCGGCGGCACACCGCATCTGAAGGTTCGACCTGGGAGAGATTCTGGGATCGTCGGAGGGGAGGCCGGGACATGGCGGGAGTTTGGGGGTGGTTTCTCTCATGCAAGAAAGACAACGGGAACAGAATTCCTTCGATCGTGTCGCTCGGACGTGTCATTGTTCCTCCGATTACGTTTCGTCGTCCTTGCGGCACCGACCGCCTCGAGGCTGTCAAGGTCTCTCGATAGAAACAGGGGTGTCTGGGTGGGGGTGGTCGGGAATACAGACACGCGCGGGCCGGAGAGAAGCGACAACAGGGCCGACGTGTGAACGAGAACCGTTCCTTTTCGTTCTCCTCTTCCCGTTCCGCTCTCTCACACACACACTCTCTCTTTCTCTCTCTCTCTCTCTCTCTCCCGTTCCGCTGGGCTCTCTCATTGCTATCGATCGTGACTCCGGACCCGCGTCTCTCTAAACTTTCTGCTACCCGGCAGGCCGGGAGAGTCCGAAGAGGATCGCCGGGTTTCGTTCAGGCTCTGTGGCGGACCTTGCGAGCAACAACGCACAGCAGGATGTCCAAAGGTGGACGCGCGAGATCGTGAGACGTCGTCGAGGCGAGCGAAACGATGCCTTCGGGAGATCGGGGATGTCCTTGCGAGCGACGCGCGAGCTGCCGGGGTGGCCCGGTCGTCACGGTTCCATCCTCCGGGATCGGGAGCACCGGGATAAGAGGGGCGCGGGGCGGGATTATCGCTGCGGGGTCGCCGATCAGGGTATACCTAGCTCGACCGCCTGCGGTTCCGCGGGCTATGGAACACCTTCCGCAGCCCGCTCGATAGTCCGATTACGGTGGAAACACGAGCGGTGGAACGTTTCGCAGCCCGACGACGCGACGCGGCCAACGAAACGGTTCGCCTCTCGTCCTCGTGACACGACTCGGCCCATCCCCCGTGTTAATCCTGTTTCATTAGTGTACCCGCCCGACTTCGGTATCAAAAATAAAGCGCGACCGTGGTCTCGCGAAAGCTCCCGCCTTTGGTGGAGCTAGGTACCACGCCTAAACCGGGGAAGAAACGACACCGATAGTTCGAGGATGATGGACTTCGAGGCGGGTTAAAACGCTCTGAGCTACGAAAATATACCGTTGGAAGCTTCTTCTTGTTACGTTTTTCTCTTTTCTCTGTTTCTTTTGTCTGTTCTCCTCCCGTCTTACGCACTGTACTCGCACGCTCTATTCCGTGTCTTCTTCTTCTTCTTCGTCTTCTTCCTCCTACTTCTTCTTCTTCTTCTTCCTCCTACTTCTTCTTCATCTTCTTCTTCTTCTTCTTCTTCTTCCTCCTCCTCCTCCTCCTCGCCTCGATTCCGCGCAGCTACGCGGGATTATCACGTTTGCGAGAGGTCTGTGCGAAAAGGCCACGTGCTCTTTGGATCAGTATCGGGAAGATGGTGTTCGCTCCTAACGATCTCTCCCATCTTCGCCGAGTCTGTTCTATTTCGTCTCTCGTTCGACTACTCTCATTTTCTTCTCGGTCGTCCTTTCCCCTAGCCTATCGAGTTCTGGCGCGCGATTCAACGTTTCCCTCTCTGCGCGGCTGTTTTTCCTTTTTAAAAAAATATCTCGTAATACTCGCGCGGGACGATGCTAAGGCTAATTCGGGTGCAGTTTAGACTAACGAGCTCTAACCTAGACGAATCCGTCTCGAACGCTGAGCATTCCGCCCGAAAGCGAGCAGAAGTATATGTACAGCGGGCCGCGAAAGTGTTCGTACAGCTTCTGAAACGTAGTAACTTTCTTAAAACTCGATTAAACGACTTGAATTAAGTTCAGGTGATAGAGGGACTAGTCTACTAGGCGATGACTAAAGTGCCTTTTTTTTTAATTGTGCTATTATTTGGGATGATAAGAAGAAAAGGTGAGAAACTCTCGTTTTTTAACATTTTTATCCGAGCCTGTAACAAAAATTTCAAAAATGCCTATCGATGATTTGTATGCGTGCTGAAAATTTGATTAAAATCCGTTAAGTCGAGCTACAGGCGTTGAAAGATTCGAAGAGCCGCAGATTTCTTCCAGTTTCTGGTGAAAATCGTGATTAAACTGTGATTTTTGCCATCTTTAATTTGTTATAATTCGTAACAACGTCGACTGATCTCGACAAAATTTTCAGTGTGCATTTATACGTTGCCGAGACCTACGAGAGGCATTTTCTAAATTTATAGGCTCAGATAAAATAGTTAATAGAAAGAGTTCTTTATTTGGTTTTTTTGTCATTCCAAGTAATAGCAAAATTTAGAAAAAGCATTTCGGTCATCGTCCGGTATACGATATCCAAATTCGTGTCACTTAGTCCAGTCTTAAAAAGAGTTATCGCGTTCTAAACGGTGCGCGAACACTTTCGCGGGCCACTATGTATGCACGCGCGCGCGCGCGCGCCTAGCGCGTTCGCGAGGCGCGAGCGTGTCTCGCGAGAAAAATATACGCGCGCCGACCCGTTCGTGATCGGCTCGGCGCGCCGCCTACACCGAACGGTGATATCTAAATACGGGGGGTGGGGGGAAGTGGGGGCACTGTACACAAGTATCCAACATCTATAGAGAATCCGGAATGTTCAACAAACGTATAATCGTCATCTGCTAAGGCCTACAGATTAGGTACGCACAGTTGTGTTCTCGGGGCTCTACGCGCCGGGAGCTACCGAATTTATGACTTTCTCATTGACTTTCTCACAGGAATCACCCATCGAATCACCTCGTTCACCCGAGAGTACCCTGGCGATCGGGTTATTCGGGTTCCCCGTCGATCGGAACGCTCGGGAGCGGGGTGCGGAACGAACAACGGGTTTTCACGGGTGGGTTTCACCCGGCCCTATAAACCTACGAGCGACTTTACACTTTTACGATCGCGCAACGCGTCTTCGTTGCTTCGTCCTCTCTTCCTCTTTTCTTTTCTTTTTCGTTTTCGTCGCTTTTTTCCCCCTCTTAAACAGGTATGTACAATCGAGTCAAAAAATAGAAACTCTTCTCTTCTGTCCGATAAGAAAAGGGATGCCGGGAGGTAACGAAAGAACAGGTACGCTAAATCTGTGGTCACGTTGCCCGTGTACGAGTCGATGAGAAGTAAACGCGACGACGAAACGAACGCGACGTTTCGCAGCTCGCGGCGGGAGGACGAGAATCGTCGCGCGTCCGAAGACTGGGACGCCGGGATCGATCGATTTTCGATTAAAGTAGAAAAATAAGCGTATCTCGGGGTGTCTTGGACCAACCGTTCGTAGGTTGGAGACCTGGCGAAGACGTTTCTTGCGAGAAGGGGGTTGTTTCGGGGGTGGGCGGGGGGGGGGGTATTGGGTTCGCAGTGTGCGTATCGGTAAAGAGCGTTTCGTGGAAAAGAAAAGAATGGACGTTCGTTTCCTTCGATGCCTCGAACGATTTAGTTCTCAGGGACTCATTATACACGGCCATCGTGTGACGCGAAAGCTTTGTTTTCCGAAGACAAGACGAAAGGTGTCGAAAAGATCCGTGGTACGTGTGTATCTCGACCTAACCCGATTTCACGACGACCATCACGCCACGCAGCTTCCTGGCGATAAGGTTGCTCGGCTTCCTTTCCTCCCGACTGAGATCAGGTAAACAGACACACAGACACNCGGGGGGGGGGGGGTTGGGGGGGGGGGGGGGTTTGTGGGGGGGGGGGGGGGGGGGGGGGTATTGGGTTCGCAGTGTGCGTATCGGTAAAGAGCGTTTCGTGGAAAAGAAAAGAATGGACGTTCGTTTCCTTCGATGCCTCGAACGATTTAGTTCTCAGGGACTCATTATACACGGCCATCGTGTGACGCGAAAGCTTTGTTTTCCGAAGACAAGACGAAAGGTGTCGAAAAGATCCGTGGTACGTGTGTATCTCGACCTAACCCGATTTCACGACGACCATCACGCCACGCAGCTTCCTGGCGATAAGGTTGCTCGGCTTCCTTTCCTCCCGACTGAGATCAGGTAAACAGACACACAGACACACGCGCACACGCACGCATACACAACGCTGACATTCTTCCGTTCGTTCGTTCTTCCTCTTACTCTCCTCCCCTTTCACTCCCGCCCTTTCTCTCGCACCCTTTCTCTCTCCGGGGCACATTCGCGCACACTTCCCCCGCGTCTCGACGACGTCGACGTCGACGTCTCGATTCTTAGACCGTCCCCGAGCGGTCAACACCTCGACGAGCGTCGACGACGCCCGTCCTTGACTCGAGGATGAAGAGGCGGGCTCTCGAGCTCGGTTTCTCTCGACGAACTTTCATTCGGAGACGAGAAACGCAAGGGGTATTTAATATAGCATATATATACGTATATACAGGGTGATCCAAGATTATGGTATTTCCGGGAAACGAGGGGTTGCCGAGATGATTTGAAACAACTTTTTCCTTAGCGAAAATTCGATCCGCGGCTTCGTTTACGAATTATCAACGAAAAACAGTGACCAATGAGAGGCGAGCGCGGCCGGCGCGATGGCAAGCCCCGCCGGCCCAGCCAACGAGCGGCCGAAGCCCTGTTCGGCTCATTGGCTCGGCCGCGTCGCGCCAGGAGAGCTCGCCTCTCATTGGTCACCGTTTTTCGTTAATAACTCGTGAACGAAGCCTCGTAGAATATTTTCGCCAAGGAAAAAGTTACTTCAAATGATCTCAGAAACCCCTTATTTCCCGAAAATACCATCATTTTGGGACATCCTGTATATATATACAAATATGTATATTCTATCTATCGGTGAGCCCTTCGCAAACACTCGCACACAGAGACACACGCACACGCTTTTTCTCTCTCTCTCTCTCTCTCCCTCTTTCTCTCCTGGCACCTATTGAGAGAGATCGGGTATATGGTACTCACGCGGAGGAAGAACCTGCGGCGCGCCAGGTCCAACGTGACGCGACAGAAGATAGATATCCGTGTTCGGACGTCCCTAGACGGCGTCGTTCTTTTCGATGCGCACGTTGTTGATGAAGAAACTTACTTGCCGTTTGAAGTTCATGTCGTGCTTGTTGAAGTTGTGCGCGTGCAACGCCAGCGCGCCCTGCGCCGCTGGCTCAATTTGTTTCAAGTGTTGCTGCATTTGCTGCTGATGTTGCAACTGCAGCTGCTGCTGCTGTTGATGATGGAGATGAGGCTGATGATGATGGGGAGGGTAGTGATGGTGAAGCTGATGGAGATGATCGGCGTAACGATCGGTATAGGGATTGACCACGCCAGTGGTAGCGCCCGACGAGATGCCGGCCAGGCACGAGGAACCGCCCCCACCGCCTACGCCGCTCATGGTCCCACCTGTCGAACCGGCAAGCAATGAACTGGTTAATGCCGTGGACGACGTGTGACCATACGGTACCAGCGAGGTCATCACGGACGGTCCCCTGGCCAAGGCCAACGTGCCGGGCTGCTGCGAGAAACCACCACCCATGGCCGTCACCAATCCCTGTCGCGCTTGCGACTCGATACCTCCCGCGGCTAGATTAGTATTAGTTTGTGCTTGTTGTTGTTGCTGTTGCAGTAGTACCGATGATTGTTGCAACTGTTGGTGTTGCTGCACACCACCGCCGGCACCGCCGCCGCCGCCGCAGCCGCCGCCGCTACTCGGAACGGCGGTCGCTTTCAGCAACTGCTCCCTCAGTCTACCACCGCACTCCTTGATGCGCTGTAACTCCGCGTCCAGCAATGTCACCTGCTTCTCTAGGGTCTGTATGCGCGCGTCTTTCGTCTCCATGATGGCCGTCAGGGTGGTGCTACCGGGCACGCCGCCTGGAACCGCCACGCTACCCCCAAGGACGGTACCGCCACCGACTCCTCCAGCACCTGATACGCTACCTAGCCCGAAACCTGCACATCCGCCCGCCACGGCTGCCCCGGACGACGCGGTCGAAGCGTACGCCAGCTCCAGCTGCGTCTGGAGGCTCTTCAGGCTCTCGTTCGTGGCTTTGAGCTCCTTTACAACACAAGCAATAGGGGCACGGTTACACTCGTCGACGTGTTTCCGCCCGTCTCGTGTCTCTCTAGCGAGCGTGCGAGGGTTTTATTTTTTTGTTTTGTTACTTTTTTTTATGTTTTTTTTGTTTTTTTTTACTTGGGTTCTTTTTTTTGGTAATAATTTTTTTTTGTTGTAGTTGTTTTTTTGTACTGTACTTCTACATTTACTTTTTTTTTTCTTGGTGTGATGTATGCGATGGTTCGTAGAAGGGAGATGTATAGACTTTTTTTTATATTTTTTTTAGTTTTTTCTACGGTGGTCTGGTGCGGCCTCGCTAATGCCGCGAACCTGTCCCGTGGCTCGCATTTATTTTCGGAAATTAAACCACGGGCGATCTCTCTCTCTCGCCCTCTTCCACCGATCCTCGGTCCACTGCACGCGCGCTTCCGACAATATTATTCTGTTCGCGGCCGCGGCTTTCTCGCGGAGCCACCTCGATATGATCCCCCGGAGCACACTTTTGTCCTCGTGCACCAGAGGATTTCCGAACCACGAATGCTCGTAACGGCGACGGCATAAAAGCTACTAGGAGAAACTCGTTCTGCCCGCGGCCGTTGATCACCCGTTTCCCGGGGCAACGCCGGTCAAATTTTACGATCGACCGTAAGTCCTCCGGCACCTCGCATGGCCGAAGATTGAACATTACACGGTTTATCATCCGCCGTAGTCTCTCTCTCGAACTTTACGCGCGGCGGCCGACGACGAGTCCCGTCTTTAAAGCCTCCCGCGCGGCGCCGTTCTATCGCGTCGATAAATTTCTTTGCCCGACGATTCTCATTTTTCTGGCGTCGCGAGGAGGGAAGGCGGGCGTCGATCGCGTTCGCGAGAAAAGCGAATGGGTGAAATACGAACGGCGACGTTGCAAGAATCTCGGAATACCTGCGGAAATTTCTTCCCGCGATCGACTTGTCTCATTGTCGCGATTCAAGATTCAACTGCGATCGACGCGGAAAATTTTTATTTGTAGAGATCGAAATGTTCGTTAAAATGGTATTATGTATAATATTGTATAATAATATTATATGATAATATTATGTATTGAATATTAAATATTTATAAATTATTCATTCGTGATTGAGAAAGCTCTGCTCGAGTTTATGTCTTTTGCTTATTCTTTTGCTTAAATTCAACGGCGATCGACGCGGAAAATTTTTATTTACAGAGATTTAAATGTATAATATTGTATAATAATATTATATGATAATATTATGTATTAAATATTATTTATTAAATATTCATAAATTATTCATTCGTGATTGAGAAAGCTCTGCTCGAGTTCATGTCTTTCGCTTAACACTTCGACTGCCAATTTGTCCACATATGCGTGACAGAACTGCTTTCACTGATTTGAAAATGAATTTTTGCTCTAATCTACTGTATTTCCATAATTTTATCGCGCTTCGAAAAACGTAGAATTACTACAAACGCAATTCATGTAATACAATTTAAGTTCTCCGTTTCAATTCGATCGAATAAAACGTTTCAATTCGATGCTATTTTTCAGCTTCAACCGTGACAGTCGAAGAAACGAAACATCTTCGGACAGCGTGCTCACGAGGTGGATCCTTTCGAAACTGCACAATAACAATTTTACGAAACCAATTTCGCAACGTTTATCTCAGTCCGACGCGGAACATTCGAGCCGACAGCTGCTTTGCGTACGACTTTCGTGTATGAAAATTTAGACGTTCGACCAGGCCCTCGAACGGCGTTTAATTCTCGAAGAGGACGATTTCTCGCGTGCAGTGGAGCATCGTGTTACACGAAATCTCGGCGATCTCCATCCGGGACAGTCTCGAGGAAGTGTAAGTGGCACCACCGGCAGCGTCCCGGTTGACGAAAGAAAAGCGACGTTCCGCCGAGCTTCCTTCCTCCTTCGACACAATCCATCCGGTCGAAAAAATCTCTCGCTCCTCCGAACGAGAGCAGCTGCTGTACATCCCGAGGGGCATTCTCATCGCGTAGTCGTCGTATCGACGAATTAGGAACGATCTCTGATTCGCGTCTCTCTCTCTCGCGTGGCCGTAATCCGACGGTCGCAGCAGGAGCATCACCGATCGCCGATGACATCCACGATCTCTCTCTCTTTCTCTCTCTCTCTCACTCTCTCCCTCTCTCTCCCTCTCTCTCTCTCGCTCCCTCTCTCTCTTTCCGCCTCTCTGTGTCGCTAGGTCCGGGAAGAAAATCCTTGGTAATTATCTCTGTCGATCTCGCGGACGCGACGCCGCGATCGCAAGGTCACTCGAAAGAAGAGCCGAGCGAAAAACGCTTGAACGCCTTCTCGCCGGGTTTCTGAATTTTGCCTGAGCCATTTCCCTCTCTATGTATGCACATAAATTATCGTTTCTTTTATTCTGTGCCAATTTAGCCAATCTCGGATTTGTGATACGATCGCTCTCTCGACGCTGTTCCCCGCCGCGTCTCTCTCGCTCTCTCCAGAACGGCAGAACGATCCTCTTGCGGACGCCGGGCGCCGCCGCAGTTCTTTCGCCCACCGCGACGTACGGCCGACATCGTTGTCCATATTTCTGCGCGCGGCGTTTCGACGACACGTTTTCATTTTTTTTTATCATCGTTCCGTTTCTCCTTTACTTTTCCCCCATCTCTCTCTCTATCTTTCTCTCTCTCTCTCTTTCTCTCTATCTTTTAGAAAATGGTCTTTCTTTCTCTAATGGTCTTTCTTTCGCGCGAGACCGCGCGCGCGCGACTAGCGAGAGATCGGTCGAATCGATCGAATTAACAAAAAAAAAACGGTTGCAAAGACTTGTCCGAAAAGCGGACGGAATATCGGCGATCGAAACGCGGCCACGTCGCATGGACAAGATGAGCAGACGCGAGCAATGCGTATCCACGACTCGCCGAGGAGGACGACGGTTCGCCGCGAACGGTGTGCAACAATGGAGGAGAAGATGCGCTGATCTGCCGGACGATCTCCCGCCGCTCGAGCGGCGCCGAGCGAGGAGAGTCGCCCGGTTTTAGCTTGGTGACACGTGCAACAGTGAGGGTCTGACGTGTGAGGGTCGTGAGAGAGCGTTACCGTAGAGATGCGTACCGAAAACGTGCGAGAGTTGTTACGTCGCCGATGAAGACGAGGGGCGCCGACTGATCGTGGATACGCATTCAGCGTATTTGTGTATGACTATGTGTACGATGAGTTCTACCGGTGATCGCAAACCGGCTCCGCTTCGCGCGAGGCGAAGGTGGTCGAGCAACGCCGGCGATATTCGAACGCGAATTTTTCGAATTTTTTCTGTTTTTTCTTTTCGAGAACAATGCGCGAATGATTCGCGGCGAGATCGGAACAGAGAATGGAATAGAATCGCGGCGAGATGATCGCGGCTTGCGACCACCGCTCGTCGGTCAAACAAACACAAGAGGTATTATAAACGGTAGAGGATAAGACAGTAGATTACGCGAGGAGAGCGACGTCGTATTATCGCATGTCGCACCAGGTCGGTGCCAAACAGTCGCAAAGTCCTCCCTTGGGCCTGGGATCGGCTCGGCTTGACGCGACTTGACGACTTTCGGACCGTCCCGCTGCTCGTGCATCGATTACGACGATTGGCCATGATAGCGGTAAGTCGTGATGGGCAAGAACGTGTCTGAGACGTACAAGAACGAGAAGAGAGAGTATATATAATATAACTGGCCGGTGAGAAACATTCAAGGTGTGTGTGTGTGTGTGTTTGTGTATGCGTGTGTGTATGTGTGTTCACAGCCGAGATCATGATCAAAATCAATAGAAACATGTTTTATGTGAGAGATGTTACAGAATGGTGCATTTCATAGATATGTATATACATATATATTCATATATATACATACATACACAAATTCATACATACATATGTATGTATATATATGTATAAATATGTATGTAAATATATAAATGTACATACTTATAAATCTATAAATATATATGTAAATATATATATATATATATATATATAAATATGTACATAAGTATATAAATGTATATGTAAATATATATAAATATGTGTATAAGTATACAGATATATATGTAAATATATATATATATAAATATGTATATAAGTACATAAATATATATATATGTAAATATATAAAAATATGTACACAAGTATATAAATATACATGTAAATATATACAAATATGTATATAAACATATAAATACATATATGTATAATATAACATAGTATAAGAGACAGAGAAACAGTAGGTGTACGTATTTACGTGTGTGACGTAAAGAAGAGACAAACACATTCTGTAATAAACGTGTGAGAGAATATACATATTTAAGAGTAACCACTCATTCGTGTGTGAATGAACGTGCAGACCGGCCGAGTTCGTGATCGTCGAATTTCAGCGCGTATTCGCACGGTCAATGGCAGTTCGCGATCAAGCAAAGTTCCTGGGATATTTCTCGTCGGTGCCTTAATTTGCTGATTCAAGAAACTTAAATAAATCTGCGAGAATCGTAAACATTCGTAATCGTGGAACGTTCGAAATGTTTTACGTATTACTTCAGTGAAAAGTTAGAAGAATGCTGTGCGCGCAACAATGCCTCTCCGTTTGCACAGAAACAAATACAAACGTGTCGAAAACAGAGATGTACCGTGTGTGATCAATAAGATCACCGTTATTACAGTAACAACAATAACTAGATTTATTATAACTAGTTTTTACGCTTTTACGATGAAACCGTGTAAATGTTTAAAAGAGTCGCAGCGTCGAAAGAGTTTTAAAATATCTGTTCTTTTCTTAATTTTTCAAAATTATCGAAGAAAGCAGGAGATCGCTATTCTTCTCTGGCTTTTCTGCTTTTTGCGACTGTCCGAGATAATTTTGCGGAAAGGTCCGCGTTGTAAAATATCAATTGCTATTGCAATACCACTTGCTATCGCGTGCCACGATCTTGCGTTTCCGACTCTGATTTCTGTTTGCAGGCTTCAAGAGGCAGCGCCTTATTCGCTCAACCT